TCGCAGTGGAGGCTTGTATTTGTACTAAGTCGGTCCTAAAATAGGTTCGACGTACCAAACGTTAGGAACTTGATATAATAGGTATTACGCAGAGTAATCTAGTTGTGGTCGCTGATACTTTAGTATTCGACTAACTGTCGTCCGACTGACTCACTGACCGACCGACTGACTGACAGACCGACGGTATTTAGTCACCCCCCCACGAGGGCATCATGTGGCACAAGGCCGGTTTAACGTGGGATCTCCGAGCCCGTGGGCTCGGCCAAAAATATGCCCATTGAACCCGTATAAACAGGTTCAGGGTCGGTATACCTCCCAGAAAGAGAATCCGCCCTTCGGTGTAGCCTCGTTCGGGTTCCTCCCCGCCCGAAGGCAGAGAGTTCAACCGACTAGCCCGTCGACTGACTGACCGACGATATTTAGTCACCCCCCCCACGAGGGCATCATGGCACAAGGCCGGTTTAACGGTTTAACCTGTGGGATCTCCGAGCCCGTGGGCTCGGCCTAAAATATGCCCATTGAACCCGTATAAACGGGTTCAGGGTCGGTTTCCCTCCCGAAAGAGAATCCGCCCTTCGGTGTAGCCTCGTTCGGGTTCCTCCCGCCCGAAGGCAGAGAATTCAACCGATCAGCCGGTCGACTGACTGACCGACTCCCACGTTATTCTTACTACTCCTACTTACTATAGGTGGGAGAGTCTATTAACTATAGAATAGATGTGTTTCGCTATAACAGTTATATATCGTACCCATGAACACTAATGGCTATGCCCCAGTCCTAATAAATACGTTGGATGCTATTTTAAGTGGGGGAAATATACTAAGTAATCCACCTCTAGCAGTGGTTTACGTATTTCACGCCGCTGGCGAGTATTGTATTTTGTCGATGTTATAATGATTACCATTTCATTTCCAACCTCCTTTTTCGTTATTCTTCATTCAGTAACCTTTCCTAGGTTACAACAAAAACAAAAATAAGAAAAAATATATAGTTTACCTATGAACACCACGAGCAGTGGTTTACCTACTTGACGCCGCTGGCGAGAATTGTATTTTGTTGATGTTATAAAGATTACCATTTCATTTCTGACCTCCGTTTTGGTTATTCCTCATTCAGTAACCCTTTCAAGGTTACAATATTTTGGCGACGAGGAGGAGATATTGGAAAGTTGGAACTATCGTCAAAAGAATCGGTAAGGATGATATATTTAGACAAAAGACCGAAAATAGTGTACAAAAGGCACTTGAATCAAACAAAAAGTAGGCATATAGATGAAGTCAAGGATAATCCAGTGGATGTTGAGCCTATCGAAATTCTTTTCGACACATTCCTCGGAAAACTCCTGAGACAAAAATCAAAAAAAAGACAAAGAGGAAGGGATACAGAGACAATCGACATTAAGCGGAAAAAGAAAAAATATTGATTCTGCGCAGAATAAATCTAAAAAGCGATAGGGTGGATTATATACCGTCCCCATGAATAATAATGGGTATATCCCAATCCTTATAAATACATTGCTATTTTAAGTTGGGGATATATGATGTTTATGTAGTCCACCACTAGCAGTGGTTTACCTACTTCACGCCGCTGGCGAGTATTGTATCTTGTTGATTACCATTTCATTTCCCACCACCTTTTTGGTTATTCCTCATTCAGTAACCCTTTCTAGGTTGCAGCAGTATTCAAGAGATCCCAAGGAAATAATAATAATAATAATTATAATAATGGAACATCAACCATCCCTGCTGTAGTTGGAGTCCTCGGATTGGTTGAAAAAGACTCCAGTAGGATTCCTGGAAGCCCATACTTTAATGAAATACGAAACATTGTTCTCGCGAGTAGAGCCCACACTTTACGAAGGGCTTTATCTATGTGAAATATGTGTGTTTGATTTTTTTTATTGGTCAGTGAAAAATATCATGATGCCATTTCTAAACTTAGGTATCTAGGTGGGGCCAGAAAGATATGTGTACAAACCAGAAATCAAAGGAATAATAATAATAATAATAATAATAATAATAATAATAATAATGTTTTGATGCTACACCAGATATGGTTCTCATGGATTTTGAACAGATTGGAGGAGGCCACATGTACGAGTTTTGATTTGATTTGATATATATATATATATATATATATATATATATATATATATATATATATATATATATATATACATATATACATACATACATACATACATACATATATATATATATATTATCATAAACTTAATAACATATTTGAGTTGGTATCCGGGTTTATTATTTTCAGTGAAATTTATAATAATGGGCCTTAATAACAACGCATATACACACACACAGAAACGTACACACACACACACACACACACACACACACACACACACACACATTCATATCTATCTATCTATCTATCTATCTATCTATATATATATATATATATATATATATATATATATATATATATATATCGATGTGTTTATATTATTATTATACCCTTTGTAGTCATAGGTATTGAGGTACCAGGCCTTGCAAAATATCTTTTCCTTAGCAGCTTTATTGATTTTAATCAAATGTTCCATATTTCATTCAGAACCTTTATACGCATGCGCACAAACGTGTCGCTTGCTGAAATTAAATATTTGAAAATAGGCCAGCCAGCTTGGTGATACTTTTTTTCTTTTTTTTTCTTTTTTTCTCATAAGTTAATTCTGGAGAGGCAGATGAAGTATTGCTTGTTTCGTTTCAGCTTTATTTTATTTCATATTTTTTTTTATTTCCTGCTTTAGTTTCTTGGGTTCGTGCCATATCGATTTTTATTTTCGACACTTATTATCTCCCTTTTCTTTTCAATTATTACCTCCCTTTTCTTTTCAAATATGCGTCTTCTTTCAGTTCTGCCTCTTTTCGTTCCCATGACAGTGGGATTAGTTTTTAAACGATGCTAATGTCACAAATGGAACAATCATGTAGTGGCCAGCATTTTGCTTCCCGTACATGCATTTGCTGTTAGGAAATCTCCCGACTCTTAATTACCAAGAACTTTATAAAACACGTATGTTTCGCGTGAGAAATGTTTCTCTCAATTCAGCTTAACACGCTTCTTATATAGTTCTATCCTCGATTGCCTGCTGAATGTGTTTTCAGCAGAGTATTAGCCCAAAATCTAAGCGAGGTGCTGAGAAGTGGGAGAATTCCGTTAGAAGCAAAGACAAGAGTACTGAATTGCTATGTGACATCCATCCTCTTATAAGGCGGTGAATATTGAATAATTTCTCCGAGGCTGATGAAAAAAACAAAAACAAAAATAATATAACAAACAAACAGAAATGTGGTTCTACAGAAAGATATTGAGAATTCCACAGACGAAGCGAGTAAGCAACGAGAAGTTCTTAAGGAAAATGCCAAAAGAAAGAACACTTATACTCAAAATTGGGAAAAAATTTTAATCAAATGAGATAACGCTTTTTAACTTCGATCAGTAAGGCTGATGCTAACCTCCAGGAAAGGTTGCACCTTCTCGGACTAAGGTTTTCAGGTGGCTGTCCTAAGCGAGCGTGTGGTCGTCGCCGCGGCCATAGGACGCGCGTTTACCGAGCACTTGACATAGAAGTTTCGCTAGAGTAAGCTTGTAATACCTCGACTGTGAGAAATCGTTTGCAGGGTGGAAAATAATTTGTCACCCACCAGGACACGGATACGCTTATGAAAACTGTGACCGGGCAATATAGCAACAGTACACCATTTTCGGTCTGATCTGTCTCTTATAAAGGTGGATAGCATGAAGAGTCAGGTACTTACTGGAGCGGTACAGGGAGCCGATCATTTTACCTGCATCTCTAGCGATGGATCGTATATACGAATTTCACTTGAGGTCGGGTGTAAGTTTGAGGCCCTATATTCTCTCAAGGCAGGAGGCTTCCTCGGGGGGGACATCCGTTCATCGTGACTGTCGGTAGTTCTGGGTCTGATCGGCAGTGAGTGAAATTGGTCTGTGAGGCATTAAATGTAACCGGCCATTTTTTTGGGGGGGGGGAATGCGGACCGGGCAGCTCCCGCCCAAATATAGCAAAATTTTCGGCCTGATCTGACTCTTATAGAGATAGAGGATAGCATGTGAAGTCAGGTACTGGAACGGTATATTTTTAGGGTACAGTCAGGTACTTACTGGAGCGGTACTGGAGCCAATCATTTTACCTGCATCTTTAGTGATGGATCGTTTATAGGAGTTCCACTTGAGGTCGGTGTGAGTTTGAGGCCCAATATTTTCCCAGGGCACGGTGTCTCCTTCAGGGGAACATCCGTTCATCGTGACTGGCGGTGGTTTAGAGTCCGATCAGCGGTGTTTTTGTTTCGGTTTTAAGTATTTCTTCTTGGTCGTCTTAGAATGTGTTTACAATATGAATATACCTTTTATAGATTTCTGTAGCCCGGTGGTGTAGTGGATATCGGGTCGGAGAGCGCCGAGTTCGAATTCAAGTCGAGTTTGTTACATTCACTTACGCACAGATACCCTTGGGAAAAGTATTAACCCATCTGGCAGAATCAAGAGATGTAGTTCGTTCGAGCACATTGCATGGTAGTAGCGAGAGATTCGCCACATCCCGCCTGTGTGTGTGTGTGTGTGTGTGTGTGTGTGTGTGTGAGAGAGAGAGAGAGAGAGAGGGAGAGAGAGAGAGAGAGGTTGAAGGGTAGAAAATAATTCTTCTTCAACAAAGACTCGGAGACGCTTTTGAACTCTATCATGACTGCAAAGTGAGGTCTGGCCAGCTGCATTTTCGGTCTGATCTGGTTCTTATAAAGGTAGCGGTAGCATGAGGCGTCAGGTACAGACAGCCGATCATTTTACCTGCATCGTTAGCGACGATTCAGGTAAGGATAAAGATGGAGATTCGTCTGAAAACAAAAAAGGACTTCCAAACTATTATAATACATGAAATGAATCCTCGGGCAGCCAACAGTTTTTTTTTCTGACAAATGTAACGCTAATTTATATTCTCTTTATGCAATGTGTTTGTAACGGCCATAAACACCGGTTCTCGTACGATACCGAAGTTAGGCAACGTCTAGCTTGGTCAGTACTTAGATGGGTGACTGCTTAGAAATACCAGGTGCTGCAAGGTTGTATGTGCATGCAGTGAAGTTGATAACGGCTCGGAATTAAGAATTGGAGAGCCGAGTTCCAATTCCAGTCAGGTTCTATATATTCATATACCTAGGGGGAATTTTGAATTTACCTCTTTAAGGGGTAGTTTATATGGATAGGAGGAGTAGACAGCGGTTAAATTTAACTTGAAAAGATTAAGACTGTATTGATCGAGGAAAGCATCCTCTTGAGAGTCTGTTCCACAGGTCAGTGTTTCGCGGGAAGAAGCTGTGGAAATTACTTCTCGCTGATGGAATACGGGGGTAATGTGGGTGGTTTGATACAATGTAAGTGGCATGGCGGATCCTAGCCTTGGAGGATAGACCTGGCGGAAGCAAGAGATGTAGTTTGTTCGAGCACATTGCATAGTAGTAGCGATAGAATAGTGGGAGACTCGCCACATCGCGCCTGTGTGTGTGTGTGTGAGAGAGATAGATAGATAGATAGATTGAGAGAGAGAGAGAGCGAGAGAGCGAGAGAGAGAGAGAGAAAGAGAGCGAGAGAGAAAGAGAGCGAGAGAGAGAGAGGAGAGAGAGAGAGAAAGAGAGATAGATAGATAGAGAGAGATTGAGAGAGAGAGAGAAAGAGGGCGAGAGAGAGAGAGAGCGAGAGAGAGAGAGAGAAAGAGAGATAGATAGGTAGATAGATAGAGAGATTGAGAGAGAGAGAGAGAGAGAGAAAGAGAGCGAGAGAGAGAGCGAGAGAGAGAGAGAGCGAGAGAGAGAGAGAGGAGAGAGAGAGAAAGAGAGATAGATAGATAGATAGAGAGATTGAGAGAGAGAGAGAGAGAGAGAGAGAAAGAGAGAGAGAGAAAGAGAGAGAGAGAGAGAGAGAGAGTTTTGGAAAATAATTCTTCTCCAAAGATTCGGAGGCGTTTTTGAACTCTATCAAGACTGGAAAGTGGGGACAAGGCTGCTCCCGACCAAATATGTCAACCGTGCGCTATTTTGGGCCTGATCTGTCCCCATAACGGTAGAGGATAGCATGAGGAGTCAGGTACTTAATGAAGCTCTACCGATCATTTTACCTGCACCCTTAGCGATGGATCGTATATAAAAGTTCCACTTGAGGTCGAATATGAGTCTGAGGCCCTTGTACTTGTATATACGCAGGACATAATCTAGGAAGAGATTATATCATCAAGGACTCTCATTTCCTGCCTGTCGACTCCTGACAAGGTTTGAAATATGTCGGTATTGGGACCTTCGGCAAACATGTACGACAGTCGACCTATATATCAGGTCATCCCATAAGTTCTGCCCGAATTTTGAATAAAGAAAACAAGTGACCAAATGTTACATTTAATTACAGATTCAATCAACAATGTATTTTCCCTGATTATCTATGACTTCTTTCCATCTATTAACAAGCTTACTAATTCCATTACTCTAAAATTCTTTCGGCTTTGATTCGAAGAACTCATAAAAGTCAGTTTTAACCTCTTCTTGTGTTACAAAAGCTGTTTCTTCCAAATGATTTTGTAAGCTACGAAACAAATTGTAGTCTGAAGGAGCAAGATCTGGAGAATAAAGTGGATGAGGAATTTTCTCCTAACCAAGTTCTTCGATCTTTTGTAACGTGATTCTTGCTGTGTGGGGTCGTGCATTGTCCTGATGAAATATCACCTCTTTTCGATTCACTAGAGCAGGTCTTTTTTCCTCAACGCTTGGTTCAAACACTCTAATTGCTGACAGTATATTTGAGCATTAATTGTTGCATTAGGTGGTAAGAATTCAAAGTGGATTATTCCTTGGCGATCCCACCAGATTGAAAGAAGAACCTTTTGACCATGAAGTTCCCTTCTCGGCTGTGGCTGGGGTCCTTCCTCTTTACCAAGCCACTGTCTACGACGCTTAACATTTCGATAAAAGATCCATTTTTCGTCGCCAGTCACATGTCTATCCAAAAAAGGTGAAACAAGTTGGCGAGAATGGAGAGAAGAGCAGATGTCAACTCGAGATTTGAGGTTGTTTTCAGACAATTCATGAGGCACCCATTTTCCAAGTTTAGGAACTTTTCCAAGTTGTTGAAGATGGCGATGAACAGTTGTATGGTTTGAACTGAGAACCAATGCCAATTCCTAAACTGATAAAGCAGGATTTTCTTCAAGGGCTGCTTCAAGAAGCTTTTCATCAAACTCAACTGAACGTCCGGTTCGATCTTCATCTTCAAGGGTGAAATCTCCACCTCTGAATTTTGCAAACCATCTTCTGCAAGTTCTTTCATTCACATATTCCTCTCCATAAACTGGGTGAATGTTTCTAGCCGCTTCGGCTGCTGAGTTTCCTTTCTTGAACGCATAAAGCATTATGTGTCTCAAATGATTCTTGGGTACTACCATGTTAGCAGGGTTTTAATCAAACAAAATTTAATTTTAATCTTCTCTGAAATAAAATTTGATCAGTTTAAATGCATCTAAACATAAAAATAAAGTTCAGCTCCATTAGACATTATAAAATACTCTTTAAATTTCGTTCATTTTAACAAAGTTAAAATTCGGACAGAACTTATGGGATGACCTGATAGTTTTTCAATCAAATCTCGACATTTAGTAGACTCAGAGCTCGGAAGAGAGTGTTTAACGGATGATAAGGGGAAGTTTCTATTGACGCAGTCGTATGTAGCCGCTAGAAATAATTTAAAAAGCACTATTCAACTTTTCCATTGAATTAAATTAAATAAATAATTAAATAATTATAAATTCGAAGAAAAGATAATAAGTGTTGTGGGCTTTCCCCTTTTTACATAAGATGGACTCGTCCAAAGAATACTTATACTGACAGAGAGAATACCTGCTGTTGAGATACGTCAAGATACAGTCTCGACGTCTGTCGAATTCTCTGCTTTGCCAAGAGAGGAACCCGGACGAAGCTTTGCCGAAAGACAAAGTTTCGTCCGGGGAGGTAGACAGGCCCTGAACCCGTCTAGGCGGGTTTAAAGGGTATCTTTTTGGCCGAGTCTACGGGCTCGGAGAAACCCACTTTAAACTCGGCCTTGTGCGACATATATTCCTCGTGGGTCGGATATTAAATACCGCGATACGCTGAGATACGTTGAGACAGGTTGAGTGATACGGAGACAGACACAGGGTGTTCTCAGAGAATTATACAAGAGTCCAGAGAGAGAGAGAGAGAGAGAGAGAGAAAGAGATAGATAGATAGATAGATAGATAGAGAGAGAGAGAGAGAGAGATTATGGCTTTATTTACAAAGACTTGTACATATACTTTCTACTAAACCGCATTCCTGGACTACTAATCTTCACTTCAAGTCTGTATTCATACGTTTAATACACTTATTTTTCTATTTCAATTACTGGCATTGTTTATTTATTTGTGCAGGATTCCATTCACGGAATCCTCAACAATAAGAAAATGAATAAATAAATACACATCACCTATTGATCAAATCAGGTAGACGCCAAACAAGGATTTGCAGATGCTTTTGAATTGTATCAAGACTGATAATTGAGCTCCTTCCCAAATATGGCAAGAGTGCTCCATTTTCAGCCTGATATAGCTCTTATAAAAGTAGAGGGTAGCATGTGGAGTCAGGTACTTACTGGAACGGTACAAGGAGTCGATCATTTTACCTGCATCTCTAGCGATCGTATGTACGAATTTCACTTGAAGCCTGGGGTTACTTTAACGCCCAACAGTCCCTCAATGCACGGGTCTTGCCTTAGGTAACATCCATTAATCGTGACTGGTGGTAGTTGTTGGAATTTTTGGGTACCCTGGTGTACCAGTGAGCCAGCCAAAATGAGCTGACTCATTTTATAGTTCACCAATAGAAGAGTTAACCAATCAGCAGGCTCAAAATATTCAATACGAGTGTATAAAGGCGGCCATGTTTTTCACGAATATGCACTGCCAGCCTTTGATAACCCGGACGAGGCTCCGCCGAAGGGTAGAGTCTCGTTCGTGGAGGTTGACTGCCCCCTGAACCCATTTATACGCGCTCGAATAGGGAATATTTTTGGTCGAGTCTACGGGCTCGGAGATCCCACGTTAATCCCGGCCTTGTGCCACATGTAACCCTCGGTGGGTGGGGGGTGGCTAAATATCACTGCCAGCCTTTGATAACCCGGACGAAGCTCCGCCGAAGGGCAGAGTCTCGTTCGCGGAGGTTGACTGCCCCTGAAACCGTTTATACGCGTTCGAATAGGGAATATTTTTGACCGAGCCTACGGGCACGGAGATCCCACGTTAATCCCGGCCCTGTGCCACATGTATCCCTCGTGGGGGTGACTAAATATCACTGCTAGCTGTTGATATCGAAGATTGAATAATTACGGAAGAGCTGCTGGTGGTATTGGCGATATAGTCAGATTCAGTAGAGTGTCTGACTCGTGAGTATTAATCTTTAACGTTGTTTCATTGAACAGATTACGTACTGCGCTGTATTCTATATTCATAGACTATGGAGAACATGGTCAACAAAGGTTATGAGCCCAGCTGGCTTCCACTGTGCTGTATTCTATATTCATAGACTATGGTGAACATGTTCAACAAATGTTATGAGCCCATCAGGCTTCCACTGCACTGTATTCTATATTCATAGACTATGGTGAACATGGTCAACAAAGGTTATGAGCCCAGCTGGCTTCTACTGCGCTGTATTCTATATTCATAGACTATGGTGAACATGGTCAACAGTAGTTTGGGGTCCGTTCGACGATGTTACTTATACTTGTTCAATGGAAGAAGCAGTTAAGCGACGCACAATTAAATAAGATAGAAGAGTAGTAATATTGCCAAAGCGTAGAAAGCTTGCCTGAGAACATTATAACTTCGAATGACTAAAATCTTTGCTTCGAGATTCGAAGAAAGAAGTTCGTCTATTCTTCAGTTGACACGCTTTCCCTGTCTTTTGAGCATAAGCAGATGTTTCCTGTTTAGGATTGGGTTTCCGGCTCCCTCTAAAATATTTTTGTTCTTCTCTTTGTGGCCTCTTGCGTCTTGGTGGCATTATTA